AATTGAGTGGTTGTGATGCATTGATAGTGTAAAATTTTTTACACTACCAGTGCAATAAGTAATTAAACTCTTTATATAATACATATATTTGTTATATTTTTAAAATGTGATCAATAAATTCGGCCTTTCGATTAAGTAGGGTCCAAAATTGCTAAGAAATCAAGATACGGCCTTTCGATCAATAAATAAAAACCTCAATTGTACACTATCCTACTTCAACTTGAAGGAACTTTTACTGCAACATAACACAAACTAATGCTTCAAGACAGAGTATAGTAACTTCATTATCTCTACTTAGACAGTTACCAATTGATAGTACAGCCACACTGAAGTTTCACAACACGTCCAAAAGCGTTTTGTCCAAGCACAAGTTCATGAACTGCAAACAACATTATGTGCTCGGAGTAGCTTCTTCAACAGTGCTCTTGCCGCTTCTTTTCCAACAGCAGAACCTCCCTCCTTATCATCACCCTCTTCTTTTTCAGGATTCGACACTTCTTGCCCTACAAAATTAGCAAACAAAGATATTTAATTAGGCAAACAATATGAACATGAAATTCTAGAGGACTACAACTTGAGGTGCTAAACAACAGGAGAAATGTCTATTCTTAATATTGGATATATAGTTTAATTTTGATGCATTATCACCGTAAAATCTTGTACTATTACTTAATCATGCATTGCCGCATCAAGCATGTTTTATAATAGTCAAATAATTAGACACAATAGTTGTCAAATTGTTGAACACAGTTCGTACAGCATACTTACCTTCATAGTCAAAATCATCAAAATCATCACCCACTGCATCGTCGCCACCCATCCCGCCAAATTGCTGCAGCACAAAAAACAATTAGAATAAACAACATTATTAAGAGAGAGGGATAAAACTGAGAACCACATGCTCGCGTTACATACTGATAAATCCATCCCTCCCAAGTCTAGGTCACCGCCGGGACCTAATAAACAAACAGACGAATCGGTTGATACATTAAACAAAAAATACCCTTTATAACTTGAAAAAAATTAAGTAGAACATGATGGTTTCAACGTGTACATACCCGCATCTTCATCTTCATCCACCCATTTATCCCAATCTACTTTCACGTAATGTGGAGGCTTCCCTTCTGCTTTCAGTAACCTTTTCCACCACTCTTCTTCTGCCTTCTGCACAACACAGAATATGCTTCTCACCCCTACATTAATTTTGCTCTCCTGAAAAACACAACAGAGATTGATAAATAACATACATGAAAAAATATCAAAGAAAATTATTACAAGAAACAGTTAGGCAGAGACTATATCAAAACTAGAATGAGTACAATATGAAGGCAAGAACCGTTGAACAATGGTCATAAGTGTGTGCATATATCAGAAAATAGATTTATTTAACTCAGGGACGACACCGATACTACACCAGACACAACACCAATACTAACAAGTCGACACCCGATGATAATTTGAAAAAATGGATAAATTGAAGGTAATCACAAGTGGCATTGTCGTGTCGGTGTTGGTCTCCAACACTGACACAAACATGCCCTTTTTTAGAGGTGTTGGTGGCATGAGTTGGGAATGTTTTCTCCTTACCTCTACATTAACCTTGTCAAAGAGTGGCAAATTGAGCTCATACAGGTTGTTTCCAGCACCAGCAGTGGCAGAAAAAGTAAAAACACCATCTGGGAGTAAGGTCCACTTTCGCATTTTGGAATCTGGCAACTGAACCGTGACAAAAACTTTGTCAACCCTTTGAGCCCACTTGATCTCCGGATGTCGACTGCACTCAAGAACATGAAAATCAGATAGTACTACTAGTAGTACACAAATTCACCCACCAAATCTTTCATCATAAATGTGACGACCCAATTTTCATGTTCTACCCAACCTAAAATCGAATTTAACACCATGACTGTTCAGATAACACTGATCATCAATTCTCATTCAATTATACACTAATAGAGATCATACTCATACAAGAGATGTATTAAATATTAATACACTCTTTTCATTTCCACCATATAAAAAACACTATAATAAGCGGGGGCCCATCACGAAAACGACTGTGACAAATCGATATCAACATGTGCCAATACCGAGTACCCTCATTCACCGTTTTTATGTTAAAGAATAAATTATGGTTAATTCATACAACGACAATCACAACTGCAATCAGTATTGCAGCATATGTACCGACTGAAATCGCAAAAAACACTACGCAAGAACGACAGTTATTTAAAACCTTGCCTATTAGTACAACTAAACAACAAGTGAAAACAACAAATTAAGAAAAATAATAAGAATTGCATGCGGTACTCGGAAAATGTTATCAGAAGCCAAAATTGTGAAAATGAAAATATGATCACATTTGAAAAATATAATGAGAGATATGAACGATGTATAATTACCTCATATTAGTTTGAGAGAAGAAGAAGATGTAAAACCCTAGATTCTTTGGTAACTGAGTGTCAGAGACAATTGTAACCTCGTTTTCGGATTTTGATGATGATGCAATCAAAAACCTGGTTGTTTCTGGATTGTTCTTCTTTGTACTAGATTGCGGATGAGTAAAAGTGGATGGAAGAACACTGATTTAAGATTTTGTGACCTTTGGCCCATTTAGCTATTAAGGATAAATATATGCTATCTACACCACCACTTTATACTTCATACACCACACATTCTTTTTTACTTTGAGCAAAACACCACGTATTCTTCTTTTTTATTTAAAACTTTTTTTCTTCAGATTCATCTTTCTCAGATTCTTCATTCTCTTTAGTTTGAAAGGTTTTAGTCTTTTCAGACTTTTTCATAAGTTTCAAAGCCACAAACTTTTTTTTTTTTAGGTTCATCCTCTTCGGGATCTTTGGACAGTTTTAGCAAAGTTAACCGTAGGTCTTCATTTCTTGGATAAGTTTCTGATAATTTTCTTTACATGATTTACAGTAGAGTATCTTTTGTTCAAAACTTTCACTCATGCAACAAGAGTCTGAAATCTTGAGAGTATGTTCTCAACTGTTTCATCATCTTCCATTCGAAAGGCTTCATACTTTTGTATCAAGGTAAGCACATTGATTTCTTACTTTATAGTTTTTCTCACAAATATGAAATATTGTAGTGCAAAACGTTCGCGTAAAAAATTCTTGTAAAAAGTTCTTCTTCTAATCCACCAATGGCTACTTTATATAGGCATATAAAGTTTCGTTGAGGGTAGACTAGGAATACCAAAATTTCAGTTGTATTCTTGCATAATGGTTAGTGAGAGTGGTAGACAACATCGTACCACAGTATTGTTCTTGTGCCATAAAATCAGTGTAGTGGAAGAAATATTTGATCTTGTACTATGTATTATTCAGTCACGTAAAACCTTTTTAATTTTATCTTCTAATCTTCAGAAGCTTTAGAATGTGTGTTGATGAAGCATGCTTAGAAGGATAAAAACATAATGAGAGTCTTTATAACATTGTCTTAAGAGTCTTCATAATTATGTCTTTAGAGTCTTCTGAACTTATTTTTCAGAAATTCGGAATTATAGAGCGCAAAATCTTCAGAGCTTGAGAAATATTTAGAAGCTCTTCTACCAGAGTCACAGTCAGAAGCTTTAAGACAAACACTCTTGATAACCATTGTTTAGAAGTGTTACAAAAACTTGACCAGGTCCTTTGTAAATCGCACTTTGTATCACTTCAGAGTTAAAGTGCGTTGAGTTCAGAAATTGATGATATTACACGCCACTTCTTCAGAGTCAAGACATGTTAGCAAAAAAACTACACACTAGACAAAATATAGAATACAAAATTGTTCTCTAAGAAACAATATATTATTATCATCAAAACAAAAGACCAGATGCAGAACCAAATCTTATTCTTACAGTCTTAATTTTATTTTTATAAAATCTATATTATAAGTTATGAGGGGGCAATGTCTTCACCATCACTATACTTTAAATGTTTTATAAATTTTGTACTTCTTTATTAGAGTAACTCTTATGTAATATACTTTTAGCTTTTTTAAAAATAATTTTTTATATTAAATATTTATAGTATATATCACTACCATTTCAAATAATAAGTTAATTTATAAAAAAATTATTTTAAATTATAAATCACTTAAATAACAATAGTTATTTTTTAATACTTTTTTTTTCTAAAATAATTCATAATGATATATGAAATATTCAAAATTATTTATAATTTGAGATAAAGAATTAGTTTTTTTTGTCCTACTAAGTCAACATAATTGATAATTATACATAAATATTCGATTATAGGATATTTACTTGAATCTACAATATCTTTAATTTTAAAGGATGAAATTTTATATATTAAATTATTAAATAAAAATTTATTTCCACATAGAATATTTTGAATATGTCACTTTCAATGTTACAAATGGTTCGAAATATTCAAACACCCTCTTTTAAATGTCACAATTTCAAGTAGTAAGGCTATTCATGAACTCAACATATAGTTTATTAGGAGCTTCGATAATAGTGTGATGAGATTTTTGCATAAGAGGAGATCCATTGGTATCAAAAGGTTAGAGATGATTGGACTAAAATAAGATATTGTAATATCAAAATTTTCATACCAAGACGATAGTCAGGCATAAGAGAAATAAAGTTCATGTCCTTTATGTTCCCAACGGTGTTTGGTGCAATGATGATACTATTTTTAAGGAAGAACAATGACTTTTTTAAAGGTCTTTTCTGGTCTTTTCTGTCCTAAATCCCCTATACTACCTGCTAGTATGGGTGACTAACTATAACTCTGATCCTTACTAAAGAAGCCCAACACTCCTTGACTCAAAAGGTAGTGAGGAATGAAGTTACTCATGCGTTGAATCGAATGCACCCTTTCAAGGCGCATGACCATGGTGGATTCCAGGGTATGTTCTTTAAATTTTTTTGGCATATAGTTAGATATGATGTTGTCCAACTTATATCATATGCTTTTGTGACAAGTAGTTTTCACTCCTCTCTTTCCGAGACTCTTAATTCCTAAGGTAAGTTGTCCCCAAAATCTTAAGGACTTTATGCCTATTAGCTTGTGCAATATTATTTACAAGCTTATTACAAATATTTTGCTTAACATATTGCGTCCTTATCTAAATCACGTAGTTGGACCCTTCCAGAGTAGTTTTTACCTGGTAAAGGAACAACTAATAACGCCATTATCCTCCAAGAAGCAATTCATTCTATGTGTAATTCTAAAAAGAAAGAAAAAAAACCTGACATGGTGTTCAAAATAGATCTTGAAAAGGCCTATGATCATGTTAATTGGGATTTATTAAAATTTAGTTTAAAGAGAAACGAGTTTCCTCCCATTACTATAAATTTGATTTTGCACTATGTAACTAGCTCCTCTATGTCTATTCTTTGGAATAGGAGACGACCAATATATTTTGTTCAGACTAAAGGATTACGACAAGGTGACCCCCTTTCACCTATCTATTTCTTATCTTCCTGGAGTTCTTGTCATAAACATTCATTCGGCAAATCGATGAAGGGCATTAAAAATCTGTTAGGTTATCCCCTTTATGGCATATTTTTTTCTGATGATGTTCTTCTTTTTGTGAACTTTACTAACTCTTAGGTAGGGATCATTTTTTATATCTTGAATCATTTTACCATGTTTTCTAGCCCTAAAGTGATTAATATTAAATCAAACGTGTTTTTGTTCACTACCACTAAGAGGAGTAAAATGAATTTAATTGTCTCCAACACGAGTTTCAAGTGAAATCTTACTCTAGATAAATACTTAGGTTTCCCTATGTTACAGGGCCGTCTTTAATACAAGTACTTTGAGTTCTTAGAGAAGAAAATCAACCAGAGGTTAGCATCTTGACAATATAAATTGTTAAACAAGGTTGATTTTTTTACTCTGGTTAAGTCTGCCCTGAACTCCATACAAAATTATTATATGTAAGTGGTCTGGTTACCTTAGCCAACTTGTGATTTTTTTGGTACGATGGCTAGAAATTTTTGTGAAAAGATAATTGAAACTCTGATGTGCATCTCGTTGGCTGGAATAAAATTACTAAGCCCGAAAAGTTAGATGGTCTTGAGATCTAGAAAGAAAGAAAGCTTAATACCTTTATGTTGAGAGATATGAACTACTCTTTCCGGTTTTCTAATTGTTCTGGGGTAAGGAATTTTATGGAGTAGATTCTCAATATGGATATTTATGATCTAGAGATATGAGCGAATGATGTTTACTTGAATGGAAATTGGAACTTCAATTCATTATATACTAAAATTCCTCTTATTGCTTCTAACCGCCTGAAAGCGCTTCATATTTATTTGAATTCTCTAGTGCCTGATCAGTTAACTTGGAAAGGTAATTTAGATTATATTTATACTACCAGGGATGGTTATAACTAGCTCAACAAACTTGAATTTGTTCATAATACAATAAACAATAACTATTGGAAGTGGGTGTGACATATTTCTGCGTATGAGAAGTTGAAATTCTTCCTTTGGATTGCTTTACATAAGTCTCTTCCTACGAGACCAATATTGTGTCATCGTGGTATGCTTCATACAAATCTTTGCCCTAGATGCAATTAGGACAATGAGATGACTCTACACTGCGTGAAGGACTGTTAATTTACCACTTGCTTTAGGAAATCTATTGGCTTCTTAAACCCATTATTCTTCCAAGGATATAGTTTATATGATTGGATTAAACATGACATCAATGTTGGCTCTATCTTTTTGGATGCTTGCTGGTGGTTATGGCACGCTAGGAACAAATGAATCTTGCAAAGTGGTATCTTCCTATATTTTGAAACTCAGCACAATGAATTATGATAATCTATTAGCTAAATGTTTTCTCAAGCATAATTAGTATCATCCAACGAGAACGATCACATGGAATACACACAAACATAGTAATATGATTTTGAATGTTGATGTGGTAGCCTCAGCAATCCCGATGTCTCAGGTTTTGGTGGATTGATTCGAAATAATGATAGTGGTTGGGTTTATTTTTGCAAGTAATATTGGTTATTCTAACATCTTTTATGTTGAGCTGATAACGTTATATCATGGTTTCTGTATGGCCTTGAAACTTGACATCAAATGCCCGATGTGTTATTATGACTCCAACTATGCTATCAAGCTTATCTCAGAGTCTGTTAATATTTGACATCACTATGCCACGATTCTTCACAATATTAAAGAGCTTCTCTATAGAAAATAGTTCAAATATTTCATACTCTTATAGAGGAGAATGTTTGTGCTAACTATCTAACAAAATATAGGGTTAATAATAATATGACATACTGGTCTTTTACAGAGAGTCCTGTTGAAATAATCACTTTTACTAGCTAATGTTAGTGAGGTTTTATTTTTTAAATAACTTTTTTTCCTTTCTTTTCCCCACTTCTAAAGAAAAACATAGAAAAGATATA